AGAGAGAGATGGAAGGTCAGTCGCCATTGGTTCGGTCGTCGCCATTGGTTCGGTCGGTTTCTTTCCTCCTCGCAGAACCACTACCTGTCGCTGTACGACCCCATCAGCAAGAAGGTGTACGAGGCGACGAGCGAGCTCCCGCCAGACCTCAGCGGCGCCCTGGCGTCGCTGAAGGAGGACCCTGCCGCCCTCGTAGCGCGGTACCAGTACGCCCGGTGGACGCCCGAGCTGATCGCGACGGCCCGCGAGGTGGCCAACAAGATCAGACGAGAGTGTGTGGGCTACCTGGGGCCGCCACCCACGTGCCGGGACATCTTTGATGCGCTGCCAGTGCCTGCTGCTGGTGGTGGTGGTGCTGGTGCTGAGTGAGAGGTTTGTGAAAGAGAGAGTGAGGAGGGAGGGGTTTGTCGCGGCGGATGGGTGGATTTGATAGCAGGGATATATTCGGCCAGAGGGGGGGCGAGGGGGGAGAGAGATCAGTTCACCGACCGACCCACCGACCACCTTTTTGTGTGAGCGTGCACGTGCCCTGTGTGTGTGTGTGTGCGTGTGCGTGGTTGGCTGCTGCTGCTGGTGGTGGATCTGCAGGTTCCTCCTCCTTGCTGCTGGCTGAGAGAGAGAGAGAGCGAGAGAGAGGGGCGGCTGGGGGTGCGATAGACATGACCGAGTGCATCGTTGGGCGCTGGCCGAGTTTTCGGCACACACATACACGGCAGACAGACTGCTGCTCGTGTGCTCCGTGTGTGAGTGCGTGGCGTGATGCAGGCCTGCATTGTGAAGGGTTAGTTCAAGCAAGCTTCAGTCAGTCCATCATCACAAGTCTTAACTCACACACACACACTCAGACACGTACATCCACCACACCAGACAGACAAGACACCGCCGACGCTCACGTAGCCTCAGCCACAGCCACAGACACACACGCATCAATCAACCGGGCAGGTAGGTCATCCATCCATCCATCGCGTCCATCAATCGCATCGATCCATCCATGTCTGACAAAGAGGCCCACCGCCGCGCCGTGCGCCACGCCACGCCACGCCACAAATCGCCGGCCGGCACGCTCACGCACCCACTCGCTCACACACTCAGCTCGCGCACGTTGAAAAGCTCTCTCGCAGCAGCACAACAGTCACATAATCGCAGGCAGACAGGCAGGCAGGCAGTGTCAGGCAGGCAGGTCGGCATCGTGTGTTAAATAGCCACGCATCGATGCTCAATCTGACTTGACTGACGGCACGTTGGGGAGTGGGGGAAAGTGGATTGATAGATAGGACCGAAAAAGACGGTGGTCAGTGAGTGAGGCAGCACAGCAAAGCACAGCACAGCACGGCAGGCAGGCAGGCAGGAAGGCACGCACACATGGCAGACAGGCAGACAGGGAGGGAGCCAGGCATGAAGATAGGATCTTAGGCAGCAGAGGCAGCAGAGAGCGACGACACGACGGGCGAGCGACTGAGTGAGTGAGCGAGACGACAAAACCTCAAGCCGAAGCTCTCTCCAGGATGATTCAAAATTGGTGTTGACAGGCATGACAGACAAGGCAGACAAGGCAGACAGACCAGGCAGGCAGGCAGGCCCACAGAGAGAGAGAGAGAGAGAGAAACAGGTAGGCAGGCGAAGAATTCGGTAGGGTAGGTCATCAAAAATCACTCTCAGGCAAGCAAAAGAAAAATGCTTGGATCGGATGGGCAGGGAGGGAGGTAGCTTGTTGAAAATTGCGCTGCCATACAATACGCAGTGAGTGAAGTGAGTGGTAGTAGGGGAAGTGAAAGGAAGCGAAAGAAGGCAAGCAAGGCCGGGCCGTCTCGCTGCATTTGCAGACCAAGGAGGGACCGTGACGTGTGCTGCCGGCCGTCATGCTTACTTACACCTCTGTCTGTCTGCCTGTCTGTCCGTCTGTCTGTTGACACCCAGGCAGGCAGGCAGGCCGGCTGGTGGTCACACCATGGTACACAAGAAACGTGGCAGCGAGGGAGGGAGGGGAGGGAAACATTAGGACGAACTGGATAAAGCAAGACAGACATCTTGACAGACAGATGTGGCCCCGGCACACAAGACAAGGTCACCACCCGCCATAAAAGACTCACTCACGCACCCATTTTACCCATCCATCCCTCCATCCATACATCGACGCCTCTTTCTTGAAAGTGTCCGCTCCGCACCTGCCTGCCTCCCACAAGCACACCTGCCTGCCTCCCACAAGCACAACACAGGCAGCCACCGACCGACACCCGTCAGTCTGTCTGTCTGGCTATCATACACGTCAGCCACACACACAGCGCCACACGGTGGATGGACTTAACCGTTCAATCGCACCCCCGCCCGCCCGCCCGGCAAGAGAGAGGGGGCCGCGAGAACTACAAAACGCCCCATGGTGGGTGGCGTGAGTGGCATTGCAGGCATTGATTGCATCTGAGGGTGGGGTGCATCTCTCTCTACACACTGGCTCGCTACCTTGGTGTCTGTCTGTCTGTCTGTCCGTCTGGCTGCGGATAAGGTCCAATGACCTTTCGGCACCATCCATCCATCCATCCATTCATTTTTTTCACACCATTGACGCATCGTCAAGTGACCACCTCCCTGGCTCTCACCAGCCCACCCTCAATGGGCCACACAGGACACAGGACACATGACACCACAGCACGTGACACACAGAAGGGCCCCATCCAAACAGACAGGCAGGCAGGCAGACCCCAGAAACTTGCCTACCGGCATGCCGGCGTGTCTGCCTGCCTGCATCCCCGCCCGTCTGGCTGTCTGTCCGTCAGAAAAAAGATAGGTAGATAGACAGAGAAAGAAACCACGCACTCTTCTCTCTCTCTCTCTCTCTCTCTCTCTCGCACTCTGCTGCTGTGCCCGCGCTCCCAAACCAGAAAAATGCAGACCACATCGACACGCACACACACACACACATGTATGGGCATAAGCAAACACATCGCGGACAGAGAGCAACAGGAGCCTACCGACCACGCGCACCAGCAGGGCAGGCCACGTCACGCCAGCCGAGCAATCCAGGCAGCAGCCAAGCCAACCGAGGAAGGAAAAACGAGCTGAGCTAGCCGGACTGCTCGTGTGGTCGGCACGGCGACCTCCATCCCTCCCTCCCTCATTCGCTCAGAAGCCATTCTTCATGGGCCGTACGCCCCCCACAGGCATCGACGACACGCCGCCCTTGATGGCCGTGCCGACGCTGCCACTGGTGGCGGGCGCCGCCCCGTTGGCCCTGATCTTCCACCTCGGCAGGGACGACACGAAGTCGTCCACGTCCATGGCCAGGACCTCCTCGCCCTTGACCGCCGTCCGGCGCGCCTTCTCGAGCACGTCCACCGGCGCCAGCACCAGGCCGGTGCGGGCTGGAAGGTCGACCAAGATCGACCCATCGCACTCATTCCAGCCCTCCCCGATGGGGAACGGCTTCAGGTGCGCGTCCTGGTGGCGGTCAAGGCCGCCGAACCGGCCCTCGTCGGTGTCGAGTGCTGCGAGGAGGGGAGTGGTGGATGAGGTGCCGATTCGGTACTGGCTGTACCAGGCCGTGGGGTGGAAGTTGAAGAGGAAGAGGCAGGGGCCCCGCTCGAAGGCGACGACCTTGTCGCTCGGCATGCAGACGATGAGCTTCTCGGAGGGGGCGGCCATCCACTGGAGCTTGCTCTCCCAGCGCAACAAACACGCCTCGAAGAACTCGAAGTTCTTGAACTTGAGGTCCTTGTTGTCCGCCAGGTCCCATCGGCGGCGCGCGTGTGAGTGCGACCACCCGTTGCCCGCCCGCGGCATGTCGATCCACTCCGGGTGGCCGAACTCGTTGCCCATGAAGGTCATGTACCCGTCGCCGCCCAGCCCGCAGCCAAACAGGCGGATCATCTTGTGCAGGGCCAGGCCGCGCGCGGCGCCCTCGTTGGGGTCGAAGACACCCATGTTGTTGTACATGGCCGAGCCCATCAGCACGTGGGCCAGTGTGGCGTCGCCCAGGTGGTAGCTGGCGTACGGGGCGTCGTGGCGGTTCATCTGCTCGTAGTAGACGTCACGGGTCTGGCGGGCGATGGTGTCCCACGAGAAGTTGAAGGCCGCCTTGACGCGCCCCCGGGTGCCCATCCACTGGCTGTGGGCGAAGTTCTTCAAAATCTCGCACACGCCCCAGGCGATGGAGCCCGGCTCAGGGTCCACCAGCCACCCGTCGTTGTCGGGCGAGACGAAGTCGCGCGGCCCGCCACAAGTGGTGGCCACCACTGGCTTGCTCGCCGACCAGGCCTCTAGCACCACAATGCCGAACGGCTCGTTGCGCGACGGCACCACTACGGCGTCACACGCCTGACATCCGTCCATCCATCCATCCATACACACAGACACAAAAGCACAGAGGAGGGTTTGTGGTGAGTGAGGCGTCTCTGGTTGTGTCAGGGAGGGAGGGTGGGTGGGGTCGGGCGTGGCGTGGCGTGCGCACCTTGAAAAGGGACTTGAGCTCGCCGCCTCCCTTTTTGCCGAGCCACCTGACGGCGTGTCCCACGCCGAGCTGCTGGGTCCTGCCCTCGAGGCCGGCCTTCATGTGCCCGTCGCCGACCATGAGGAACTTGCAGTCGTTGCGCATGTTGAGAATCATCGGGATGGCCTCGACGAGCAGGTCGGGGCCCTTCTGGACGGCCATGCGGCCAACGAACAGGATGGTGGGCTCCATCGCGCCGATGCCGTACTTGCCCTTGATGGCGCCGGCGTCCTCCTCGCCGTCGAACTGCTCGGCGTGGATGCCGTTGTAGATGACCTTGATCTTGCCCTCGTGAATCCCGTACTGACCCACCACCTCCTGCGCATCGACCAGTCCACACACACACACACACACACACAGAGGGAGAGAGAGGGCCATGTGCGTGGGTTCACCCGACTGCTCCACAAACACGCATACGACGTACGTACCTGTGCAAGCACCCCCGAAACACAAATGACTCGGTCGCTGACGTGGCAGGCCTCCGCCTCGATGTCGCGGATACGCCCCGACTGGCCGCCATAGGCGTTGTTGCCGCACCGGCCGAACTCGGTTGAGTGCATCGTCATGACGGCTCTGTGTCCGGAGAGCTTGGCCTTGGCGAGTGCCTTGCCGGCGAGCCAGTCGTGGGCGTGTGTGATCTGGTAGGTCTCGTTCATGAAGTTCTCGGACTGGTCCATCGACCACACGAAGGAGTCGCACATGTTGACCATCTCCTGCACGAAGTCGTTGTTCTGCCCGAACTGGCACTCGTGGTAGTGCACCCCATAGAAGACCCTGTGGGAGTTGCCGCCCTGCGTGGTGCGCACGAAGACATGCACCTCGTGGCCGAGCCGCTGGAGCCCCGCGGCGAGCTCGGTGACGTGTGGGGCGACGCCGCCGACGGCGTGGGTGTGGAGGGACTCCCAGGCAAACATGGCGACGAGGAGGGGCCGTTTGGCGGTGAGGCACTGCTCCTTGGACTCGACCATGGTGATGCACTTCTCGCCCTTCCGGCGCCCTGTCAGCGTCTGCACCAGCTCCTCGAAGTCCCACTCCTCGTCGCGGCGGCGCTTTGCCTAACACACAACACACACACGACGAGAGAAATGGCGCTCTCTCTGTGTGGGTCTGCATGTCTGTGTGTGGTGCCTGACTCACACACACCCTCACCAGCAGCCTCCACGCATTGGCCTTCTCCATGGCGAGTCTGTAGTCGAATCCGATGCCGCCCTTGGCGACGGGTTTGCAGAGAGTGGGTATGTTGCTGGTCTCCTCTGCGATGGTGATGCCGTGGTCGGGCAGCAGCGTGTGCACCAGCTCGTTGGCCAGCGTCAGGTACGTGATGGCCTCCTCGTCGCTGTCAAAACCGAAGTACTGTGCGTAGTCACCTGGGGCATTTAACACACAGACAGACAGACAGACAGACAGGGTGGGTGGAAATTGCCCGCCGTTCGCTCCCTCCCTCCCTCTCTCTGTGGGTGGGGTGGGGTGGGTGGCGTGCGAACGAACCGGTGAACTTAGCGCAGATGCCCTGGTGCTTGTAGATCATCGATGTGACGCCGACGAACCTGAAGCCGTCCACCATGAACTCGTCGATGAAGTACCGCAGGTTGGACAGCAGGAAGCGCGTCACCTCCCACTGCACACACCACACAGCACACACCACACACACATGGATCCATCTCCATTCCATCCATCTCTCCCTCCCTCTCTCTGCGTGTGTGATTGTGTCTGTCTGTCTGGGGCCAGTCCAGTCCCCACCTGCTTGTAGTTGAATAGCCTGCAGTCCCATGCCGGGTTGAGCCCTCTGAGCCCCTCATGCAGGTAGCAGCCCTCGCTGCCGTCCATCAGGTTGAGGCCGTCCAGGGCGTTGGTCGACACGTGGCAGTGCACCACGTCCATCATCACCACCAAGCCGTACCCATGCGCAATGTCGATCTGCCACCCACACACACAGCACTCTCTCTCTCTGTGCGTGTGTGAGCGAAGTCTTGTGGTTCTCACCAGCTGTTTGAGCTCCTCCGGGCTGCCGAACCGAGAGGACGGCGCGAAAAGGTTTGTGGGATGGAATCCCATGCTGGCATAGTAGGCGTGCTCCTGCACGCCGATGAGCAGGATGGCGTTGTACCCCAGCCGCGCCACCCTCGGCAGCACCTCGTCGATGAACTCCACATAGGTGCCGATCTTCTCCTCCAGCGAGCTGACGCCGACGTGGGCCTCGTAGATCTTGAGAGTGGAGGGGCGGGGAGGGCGGGGGTGCTTGGGGGTGTACTTCTCCGGGGTCTTGGGCGTCCAGATGATGGCGTCGAAGAGGTTGGTGGTGGCCGAGTGCCAGGCGAGTCGTGTCCATGCGGGGATGCGGTCGAACCACTCGTCGTCGCTGCCTTGGATGTGCAGCTTCACCTTGCACTTGTGCTGCAACGCCCACTCACCTGAAACAATACACGTGCCATCCATCCATCCATCCATCCATATGTGTGTGTGTGTGTGTGTGTGTGTGTGAGAATGGCCTTACCGGTCTTCCTATCGTCCGGGAGGAAGAGGGTCCACCTGCCAAAATCGTCGCTGACGAGTGGGTGGCTCTCCCGGTTCCAGTCGTTGAAGTCGCCCATGAGCGTGACGGCCTTGGCGGCCGGCAGCCACTCGCGCAGCAGCCACCCCTTCCCCCGCGACCCCCCCTCCACCCTGTTGAAGCCATACAGCCGATACCCCTGGGCAAACCGCTCCAGCGACCCCTCCTTCTCGACAATGGCATTCTTGTAGTCGAGGTAGCTCTGGTACCGCTTCTTGAGCTCGTCGCTGTACGGCAGCAGATTCTCGTCGTCCATAATCACGGCCGTCCCGTCGCTCTGCGGCTCCCAGTAGGAGCTGTCCCTCACAGGCAGCCGCTTGAGCTCCGCTGAGGGCACGGCGGCCCGCACTGGGATGGGGCTCTTGTCTGCAGAGGGGATGACGGAGCGGTAGTAGTAGACCTTGGCCCCGCCGTCGAGGTAGGGTGCGACCGCTTCGGCCCAGGCCTGGAAGTCGCGGCCCTGCCTGATCTCCATGGCGTCGTTGGCAGATCGACAGTGGAGGAAGAGGCTGAAGATGAAGCGGTTGGCCTTGTCGCGCACCATCTCGAGGGCGGCTATGGTGCCGGGGGAGGGGGGGACCACTCTCAGTGCGTCGGGCTTGCTGCCGTTGGCCATGGTGCTGGCGGGGCTGGTGGTGGTGGTGGTGCTGGGTGTGTCGGGGGCGGTGGTGTGGCCGCCGACCGCCCTCGAGAGCGTCCTCGTGGCCTCGATCAGCTTGTCGTCCATGCCTATGCCGGGCTTGCACTGCACCTGCTCCAGGTACACGGTCGTCAGGTCCCGCTTCTCGGCCAGATCGGGCGACTCCACCATCATCTCGAGCTCGCTCATGTCCTCCGGCACGCTCATGAGCTTCTCGGTGCGCTTGAGGAACCCCGAGAGCTTGCCCTGCGCATCCCTGGCCGGCCCGCCGCCCCGCTTGTAGGCCTCTATGACCATCCACTGTGAGGGGTCCTCGAGGTTCTGCAGCACGTCCACATGCGTCGTGGCCTCGTCGTTCTCGATGACGAGGCTCCGCGCCTCGGTGATGAAGGCGTCGCGGCCGCCGTCGACGGTGGAGAGCTGCGCGACGTAGACGGAGCCCTCCTTGAGCAGGTCGGGGGCGAGGGTCAGGAAGGCCGAGGAGGGGATCTTGGAGATGTACCTGCAGCCATCACATCCACACACACACGGGGAGAGAGAGAGAGGGAGAGGGAGAGGCAGAGAAGGGGCATCCATCGTGGCACACACACATGGTACAGGAGTGTCTGTGTGGATCCGCTTCTTACTGGTCACGGAGGTCACCCATGCCTGAGTCCAGGTCTGCCGAAGTGGTTGGCATCCTCAATCACGCCCACGCTCCCGCAAACAAAAACCTGCCTGCCCGCCTGTACGGCACGGCACACGCGCAACCACACCAGCACACACAGAGTCCACAGTGGCTCCTCAGCAGCACCTGTCATGTCATGCAGCGTCTGATCTACGCCACAAAGAAAGTGCCTGCTCACCGCACCTCTTGCTGTTGTGTGCCCCTTGGGCGTCACGCGAGAGAGAACGAACCTCTGGCCAAATCTCCACGCTGCGACGCGGCTTCACGCACTCGGCGTGCGAGTCCAGCTGAGGTGTGTGGTTTGGTTTCTTGCGGCAGTGCGCCACCAAACACGCAGAGATGCTGCAAACGCTCCCTTCGCTCGGATGCGAGCTTAGCCAGCTAAAATATCGTTTCGCGCAAGCGAGCGCCCATTGCGCGCCCTAAGCCCCGGAGCAAGGCGAGGTCCTACTTTTTGGACACCTGGCGCGTCTGAGGTCATTGGTGTGGGTAGAGACAGGGCGCCAGGCTCTTCTTGATCCATCGCAGGCAGCCCTTTGCCTCCACTCTCTGCCCTTTTGCCGCCAACGGCCATCGCGGCCCTGCCATTCCCAACAGGTGAGCATTCACGGCAGCGTCCTGAGGGTCAGGGAAGCTCACGGAGCCTCCCGTGAGGCACGGGAATGAAAAATGAGCATCGCTTTCTGTGGTGGATCGCTCGGTGCAGGGAGGAGGTCCGCACCAATCGCCTGAAGCACCTGTGGACGGCGTTGTGACCCCCTCTCGTGTTGCTGGACGGAGAGGCTGAGTGAATCATTGCGGGTCGCCCGACTTCTCTCCGAGAGGGTTGTCTCGCGCTCTCGGGTTCGGAGGAGAGGCTCATATGGCATCTGGCGCTCATGCGGATCAGCAGACAGCCGTAGAGGACAGTGCTCTGGTGAGTTGGGGAGGCGGAGGGGTCTCGCACTGGCGCGCGCAGTCAGGCCGGGCAGAGCCGATGAGTAGCTGAGAGGACTCATGAGCGAGGGAGGTTGGGATGAGGAGGGAGGGAAGGGCAGGGACAGGCGCTTGCAGCTTCCCCATACACGGACCCGTGGCTGCATTCACCCCCATCCATCTCACGTCTGTCTTTTTGTCTCTGTTTCTCTGCTGTGTGTGTGTGTGTTGCCCTCTCAGATTAGCCGCAGCAGCGCCCAGGTGTTACCTTCGTTATTAAGCAACTGCTCTTCCAGCGCCACATTCGGCGAAGCAGAAGGAAGCCCCAAGAACCAGCCACCACCTTACCCGCAACCTCATCCTCACCACCCTGCCGTGAATTTTGTCGTTGCTGAAGACTCCCCCGAGACCAGAAACGTCGCACCACCCCCCATGTCGTCCCAGGACGCACCAGCACCATCCGTCATGGAACAACCAGGGCGGGAGGCGCCGGACACGAAGACCACTGAGGTCAAGGCCGATGTCGACATGCCCCCTGCCCCTCCCGTCCCTCCCATCCCTACCATCACGCCCCCGCAAGTGCACGTGACACCCTGCAAGGAGGAGACCACCAAGGAGGTGGCCAGCCCGGTCCCTCCACCTCCGCCATCGCCGCGAGCCCTCGACGAGGATGACAAGTACGAGGGGCCGCGCCGGTCCGGCCGCAAGGTGCGGCAGTCGCGCAAGGCCAACGCGTCGGAGAGCGACGCGGAAATGGAGAACCAGGACGAGGAGCCGGCTAACGATGACGACTACACGCCGGGGTCGCGTGTGGGTCGCGGGGGCGGCGGTGCGGGTGGGGGTGGGGGGAACGCGGGAAGTGCTCGGCGCAAGAGTCCGGGTGCGGGGGGGCGTCTGCTGTCGCCCATTATCGGAGGCGGCGGGATCAGCACCAACCCCGACTGCCCCACTTCGCAGATACGGGGGGTCTACTACTGGCCGCCCAGAGAGGTACCCCATCCGACACACACACACACACACACAGACGTGACGGCACTCACTCACTCTGTCCGTTCTGGTGTGGTCGTGTGCAGGAGTGGCGTGTCAACTTCACTGACGACCAGAGCGGCAAACGTCGCATGAAGACGTTTCCAGCCAGGGTATGCGCACCACACACAGGCAGCGAGGAGGCAGACCACACACAAAACAGAACAAATCATCCCTCGCACACCAGACACACCCGTGGATGGCTCGGCTCATGCTTAGTACATGTGTGTGTCGCAGCGCCTGGGCTTCGACGAGGCGCAGAAGCTTGCTGAGGACTTCGCGCGCAAGAACGCCTCCCGCCGCAGACGTCTGGGCGGCAGCCCCTCGCCGTACGGCGGCTCGGGGTGGGACCGCAAGAAGAAGGGATCCCCCTCCCTGTCGCCGTGCACCGAGCCATCCCCCGACCCCTTCTCGTCTCGCCGCCGATACCGAGGGGGAGGGGGGCCGCCCACGCCCCTGTTTTTGCCCGACCCGCACCCCTCCGCATCGGCCGGCGAGGAGGAAACACTCATGGCCAGACACAGGCGGCATCGCGCGGCGTACCACCACGGCGTACCGTCGTCCCTGTTCGACCTGCCGTCGCCCGAGGCGCGCAAGCGGCGCGCGCTGGCGAGTCTGCGCACGGACCTGCTGCAGGACAGGCACCTCCGGGGCGACCGTGACGACGGGCTGCTGACGCGCAACCGGCGAGCGCAGCTGATGCAGGCAGGTCGGCTGGAGGACATGTCGCCGTCCAAGCGGTTCCAGCACGAGATGGTCAACTCCTCACCCAGCAAGTCGAGCGCCGAGGGGGAGAACGATGCCGTCATGGTGGCGCAGTACGCGGCGCTCCCTGTCCCCGAGCCGCCCCCTCCCTCGCCCTTCCCCACCTTTGGCGGACTCCCCGCCGAGGAGGAGCCCCCGGCCGGCCAGGCGCAGGCGCCCAACACGCCCCTGCCCCCGCTGCCACGCAAGAAGCCGCCCCCTCGCCAGTCGAAGCGTCGCAAGGTGGGGGCCAATGCAGACAAAGACAACGACCAGTACGTGCACCCCGCACAGCGGATTTTGGCGCGTCACGACCCCCACGCCACGTTTGTGGCTGACATAGAGGCCATCAAGGCCGCCGAGACCGAGGCCGGGGCGCTCAACCTGTCGCCTGGCGGCCGCCTGGAGTCGCCCGGGTCGGTGGTGGGCACGGGAGCGGGCTGGGAGGACCCCTGGGCGGTGGTCAAGTTGGAGGTGGCAGAGGGGTCATTGGACGGCGGCGACAACGACCTCAGCAACTGGAGCAATGCCATCCGTCAGATGGGCCTGCAGATCCGGGCGGCCAACGCCAAGGACCGCATGACCCCCATGCCGCCCTCCCCCACCCCGCCCCCACCCACGCCCACGCCCACACTCCCCGCCTCAGTGAAGGAGGAGCCGCTGCCGAGCCCGCCGCCGAGGTCCGAGGGTAAGGCTAAGGCCAAGACCACCAAGTCGGCGGCGGCTCGCAAGGAGGAGCGTGAGAAGAAGGCGGCTGCTGCTGCGGCAGCCGCTGCGGCGGCGACTGCTGCTGACGGGGGCGGGGTGACTGGCGGAGAGGCTGAGACAAAGGAGGGCGGGGGTGAGGGGGATGAGGGGGGCGACTGGATGCCTAGCCAGAAGATTGTCAACCGTGGGGACGAGAAGAAGATGAGTGCTGCGTCAGCTGCTGCGTTGAAGAAGCGCCGCTCGTCAGCGGTGGCGCCAGAGGGCGGGCAGGGGAGCTTCTCGAAGGTCTACTGGAATGGCAGGGCCAACAGCTGGGCGGTAAGCGGAGACACACGCATCCACATGAGACTTGAGCTCATGTGCGCATGATGGGTGTGTGCGTGTGTGCAGGTTGGGTATTACAACGGTCGCTTCCGCAAGTTTTGGTACTTCAATGACAAGGTGGGTGAAGAGCTCCCCGCCACACAACACACACACACATGTCGACAGACACACACCGAGACCAACCAAAGCTCACCGTCTCTGTCGTGTGTGTGTGTGTGTGGTTCATTCGTGTGTCCATCCATCAGCGTGATGCGGGTGCGTTCCGTTGGGTGGCGCTGCAAGGCGAGCATCTCGAGGAGCTCATCCGCGGCCCCAACCGGGGCGGACCCGTCGACTCACTCGACGACCTGGGCTACGAGTTCATGACCTCTGAAACTGCCGCCAAATGGGGTACGCTGTCCTGTCCACACAGCCACGGAACACCACACCACCTGTTGTCTGTCTCTGCCTGCTGGTCCATCTGTCTCTCAGC